AGTCAGCTTAATCCAGTTCTTCTTAACAAATTATGTAATGAAGATCATGCTGAAAGGACACATGTCTAGATCATTTCACATTAATATGGGTGTCCCCCACCCGAGAGCTTTATCCTTAGACCTACATTATTTTTTTTTATCTTCAACAACAACCTTCCTGATGCCATCAGTCACCAAATTATTATTTATGTTGATAACACAACTATTTACTTCTATGTTAGTAATAAGTTCAATTTATCCAACAAAATAAAACTGGCAACTGCTCTCAAAAATAAGCATACTACTAGATTGGAAACTAGGTTCCACCATTTCACTGTTGAACTAGTTAGATGTAACCATAAGTGCTATTCTAATAGTTTCTTATCTCTCATTTCTCACCTGTAGAACTCTATTCTGGTTTCTTGCTTCTCTGCCAACTGCAGTCTTCAAAGATTTAAATCTAATGCCAGTTGCCATCTTCTGAAACTGGTTCTTTTATTGTCCTTTCTCCTTACTAAAGTCTTCTCATTCTCTTTCATTCTCAGTAATCCATTATGTCCTAGTGGCATCACCTTGGTTGGAGGTGAAATGATTATTAAAAAAAGACAAATAGGAAGAACTTGTGTTTAATTCTTAGCTGTTTCCTTATTGTAGAGATATTAATAAATGAATGAACATAGATTTTTAGATAATACATCTTTGGTGAGTTTATGAATAGTGTATTAAGAATTGCATTTAACTGAAATATATAACTCAAAAGATATGAAATATAAGTTTATATAATATATGATGTATACTTTTACCATTAGGAAATACATTGATAGTGTTCTAGTTAAAATTTTCTCAAAAAGTATCATAATTATAACTTTAGAAAAACCAAGAAAAGACTTATCTAGAAAATGTACTACTTGGAATAAACAGACATTCTGATTTTTGGATTTGTGCATTTAATTTTAATGCCCCTAGCCAATGATTCAAGATCATTTAAGTTTAACTGTGGTCAATTATGCCTTAAACCTTTGGTAGAATAATAGGTTAGTGGGTTGATCTGCTGTGTGCCTGACAGCTATTATGACCTTTAGGAATCTATTCAGAATTAGCTTGAGAAAGATATGAAAATTCTTGCAAAACATTTGAAAAGGAAAATACTGAATATTAAAGCCATTGATCTAATTCTTGGAGCCTGAAGCCAGGTTTTGACCTCAGTTACTTGCCTTTCTAGTATCTGGACAATTCTTGAGATTTAACAATATATGTAAATGGTATGCACAGGAAGAAGCAGAAATGTATTTCTGAAGACACAGTAATTGATGTGATTCCTGATTTTGACTCTGCTTCACAATTCATGTTACACCAAAAGACTTGATTTAAGCAGTTCTTTGAATTGGTTCATTAAACTATATTGTGTTTATGATTTTAAGTCAACAGTTCTGCAAACATTTTATTTATTTATGTATTCTTGTTGCTAAGCTATAATCATATCAATTATTGTGGAAATACTTTTTTATATCCACATCGAAAGCAGTTTCTTTTTCCCTCCCAATGGTTATTTTTATGGTTAAATATGTGTATCTGTTTCTGTCTGGGCTTTAATACTGGATTCAGCTTTTGATTTTATAAAAGTGATTTCATTGGTTGATAAAATTGATTATTTCATTGGCTGAAGTAATTTCATCATTAGATACTATTTGATGATTTCAACAGACAAATTTCATTGATAGATCTGTATGCATAAGACATTTGATTGGTTAATATGAATACAAGTTTTTATATTTTATCTAAATAAATGAAATATTAGGCTGATAGGAATGTGAAAATTTTAAGATCAAGAAAACAAAGCTTAATCATGAAATATTTATTTTATGTATATAATTATAAATTAAGTCTCTTGAAATGATTTTATTGTGAAATTAATGAGCTTTTCACTGATTAGTTTAAACATAATTTAACAAATAAATTTTGTTTCATAGATTTTATAAGATATATTTGTTGATTTCTCTCTACAGGATTTAGATGATTATGTCTCTCCACAACTTCCTGTCTGTGGTGAAATGAGAGTTAAAATTCAGAACATTGTCAAAATTTGTGTACAGGACTAATTTAAGCACTGACTGGACTAAGATGCTTCCTTTTTTGATGAGGGTTATATTAGTTCATTTGGTACTAATTTTAATCTATTAACTGCATCTGTGATGCCCTGATAGCTAATTACATTCAAGAAACTTTGAACCAGTAAAATTATTATCTCTTTTGTTATTCTAAGTAATTCTTCTTGTTTCTTTATGAGCCCTCTTTGTTTTTTATAGTCATTGTTCTACAATTCATTTTACTCACTCATCAAGTAAGTTTCACAGTTATTTTATTTGCTTCTGTTTTATTCTGTGGGTGTTAAATTCTCCAAGCCTTCTTTTACCATTATGTGTCACAAGTATTTCAACTGTTTTTCTGATTGTTAGATTGTTTTCTTTTGTTGTTCCTATGAACATTTAAACTTTCTCATGCTCTCTTCATGATATTCTCA